TTCTTCCAAAAAAATTTCCCAAAAAAAACTTTTTTTTGATTTTTAAATTTAATAAAAATTTTGAATACTTTTTTAAAAATAGTAGGGATATTTTTTTTTTATGTAAATTAACAAGAACTAAGGTTTGTTTTTTAAAAAAAATAAAAATTGGAAAAAAAATAAAATTTTTTTAAAAAAAAATTTTTTTTTAAATTTTTCCCTTTTTTTCCCAAATTAAACCCCCCTTTTGTTTTAAAAAAATTTAAGCCCGGGAAAAACAATTGTTTGATTTTTAAATTTTTAATTTTGTTTTAAAAAAATTTTTTTTTTAAAACCCCTTTTTTCATTTGAAAAATCTTTTTTATTTAATTTTTTTATGCCGAAAATTTTAAAATTTTAAAACTATTAAGATTTTTTTTAAAAATTATTTCCCATTTCTTCTTGGGGGAAGTGCAAAAAAAAGAAAAGAGAATTTTTAATTTTTTTAAAAATTAATCCCTTTAGAATTTTTAAATTTTTTGTAATTTTAGTAAAATTTTTGAGAATTTGAAATAAAAAAAAATTTTATTTATTTAAAATTCCTTTAAATTTTGGGAAAGTATTCAAAAACTTAAAAATCTTTTATAAAAAAATAAAAATAAAATGTTTAAAAAAAAACATGTTTTATTAAAAAAATTTCTAAGACTGAAAAAAAATTTTGGTTTTCTTTAAAAATTTTTGTTTAAAAAAAAAAAAAAAAAATAAAAATTTTAAAAAATTAAAATTAAAAAATTTTTGGGTTTTTAATTTTTTTTTTTTTTTTTAAAAATTTTAAGGGGGAAAAAAAAAAAGAAAAAAAAAATTAGTTGGGGGTTGGGTTTTTAAAATGGATTTTGGTCCCTAAAAATTTCAAATGAATTTTTTAAAAAATTTTTAAAAAAAATTTTACACTAAATAAAAATAATTTTATACAAAGGTTCTTTTTTTAAGTTTTTATAAAACAAAAAATAAAACTTTTTTAAAAAAAGGTTTTTTTTTTAATAAAAAAAAAAAAAAAAACTGAATTTAAAAATTTTAAAAATATTAAAAATTTCTTTTTTTGTTTTCTCAATAAATTATAAGAACTTTAGGTATTAAAAATGAAATAAAAAAAATTAGTTTTGTTTTTTTAAAAGGGAGATGGTTTTTGATTAAATTCAAAAAAACCCCCCCTTTTTTAAAAATTTTTGTGTTAAAAAATGTATTTTAAAAAAAAACAAAAAAAAATTTTAAAAAAACTTTTTTTTAATTTATTTAATTGTATAATCTTTTAAAAAATTAAAAGGGGAAATTTTTTTAACTAAATAAAACCCCAAATAAAAAGTTTGAAAAACAAAGAAAATAATTTTTAAAGGAACTTTCTTAATTTTAATTTTGTTTTTTTTCAAATTTTAAAAATAATTTTAAATTTTAGTTTTGAAATGGCAACCCCTTGTATTTTACCCCAAAATTGGGGTTAAGGGAGTTTCATAACTTTTAAAAAATTTTTTTTTTAAAACCCTTTTTTTTGCCGATTCCTTTTTTCATTAAAAAAACTATTTATTTTTCTTTTTTGGAAAAAAAACACTTTCCGAATCATTATTACCCCTTATTAAATAATCTTCCCTTTTAAAAATTTTTTAATTTTAAGACCCCAAAATTAAATTTTTAAGGGTTAAATTATTACAAATTTTTACGTAAGGTTAAAATGGTTTTCAATTTTTTTTTAATAATTGCGAAGTTTTATTTTTTATTAAAAAAATTTTTTTTTTGTTTTCTTAAAAAATGTATTATTTCCCCAAAAGCATCAATTTTCTTAAAAGAATAAGCAAAAGTCTTTTTTTTCAGCCAAAAATTTAAAAAAAAATCCAAAAATTTTAAAAAAAAACATTGCTTTAAAATTTTGTTTTTTTCTGAAAGCTGATAAACAAAATTTTTAAAAAGGGGGGTTTAAAGGGAAACAAAAAAAATTTTTTAAAAAAAAAATGAACCCTTTTTTTAAAAAAACCTTTAAAAATTTAAAAATTTTTTTAAATACAATTTTTAATTTTACAAAATTTTTTATTTTATGTCCTTTTTTATTTTATAAAAATTGTAAAAAAAACCGCACATTTTACTTAGTTAAAAAAAGAAAACCCTTAAAAAAAATATTAATTGGGTTTAATTGGTTAAATTCTAAAAAAAAAAAAAATAAAAATTTTTTTAAATTTTTTTATTTTCAAATATTTTATTTTTTTTTACAAAATTTTTTTTTCGGAATTTTAAAAAAAGAAAATTGACAAATGGTAATTCCACGTGCTTGAAGTCAAGATTGAAGTCGAACTTAATCATATATGAATCGTTCCCACACAGGAATGTTTTTTTTTTTATAAAAAAATAACCAAAAAACTTACACATTATAAGAGTTCAACGATTTTACATTATAAAATACCACTTTATACAGGTACGAACGGTTAAAATAGATGTCAATCAAAACAAAAAAAATCATAAATGTGATAGGATAGCACAATTATATTATAAATGTTTGCTTTTTTGAATGTGTTTGTCACTTTTGTTTTGGCGTTAAAATATGAATTGATATTGTTCACTGTCATTGCATTGCCAAAATATGTTATACTTCTAAGACTATTAGAAGTAACAGTATACAGCAGACAGTTCTAATTCTTGGAACAAAGTCAATTGTATTGTAGTAGTGAAGATTGGTGAAAAATGCAAGAAAATATATGTTATACATTTGCATTGTATTATGGTTTTATATCTTGCGAGTATGGAGCCATGGTATTACATGTATAATAGTTTAGTTATATGGCAGTGTTATATAGAGAGATAAAATGTAGTTAACGGGGTTATCTTGAAGCTTACAAATATAGTCGGTTTTCAAAGAATTCCAATAACATTACTTTATCTCAACGAAATAACCAACATAATTTAAAAGTATAACAAAAGTGTGGGTCATGTCAATGAACTTCCTGCAAAAGTACATTGAAGATAAAACGATTTGCTGTCGGTGGTATGGCCACATCAAAGGTACTTACATGTACAAGTAAAGAAAGAGGTGTGGTTGAATAGTGAGAAATTGATGTTTTGAAACATATGAACATTTTGTAAAACAAGTTAATCTTAATTTCCAATTAGTGTAGCTTGATAGTAATGATAATAGCACGTTTTGTCACCACAAAGGAATGTGAATTATACCTGAAGGGTCGATAGTTGATTCCAAATATATAATTGAAATACTCCTCTCCGAGGAATGGTCCAGAATCAGCCGGACTGTTTAAATATTAATCAATATCATAATAATTCTGTATTAAACCGCAGTTATTTCTCTAAATTACAATCTTTGACGGCTGATTTCTGTCATTTCGTTATAATCGCGTTTTGTTGCAGATGTAAGGGGACAACACGAATAAGCGACAGAATGATAAAAAGCCTAATTTAAGACAACCATACGCTAAATATGGGGCGACAGAATGGTATCGTCACGTGGTTGCATGAAAAATACCATATCCGCGCTCTCATTATTTATGTTGTCGCAGCTGAAGGCCGTCAAAATGTAATAACAAGAAACAAACAAATAAAAACAGCGCGACTAAACTTAATAAAAAATATTGTTTGTTTAGTCGCTCTTTCGCGTTGTCGCCACTTCAGTCTCGTCAAATCGAAATAACGAAACGGCAGAAATCAGCCACCAAACAACCTTTAATTTTCGCGTCTTACGGAAAGTAAGACGAATTATTATAACAATAAAATTCATTGTATACTTAAATTATTCCATAATTCAGAACGATAGTAATTCACATCCACGAGTAAGATTTCATTTTGATCTTTTATTCCCTCGAAAAAAAAATCCCTCAATTATTTAAAAACAAGATCGACGATATCTTAGTATTTGAATTCAATCTTTTATAGCAGTGCCTTTTTAATGTTTCAATGATGCGTTTAATAATGCTTCATTATAATGCTGCACGTATGAAATGTCGCTTTTCATTGGATAACCGTGACGATTATATTTACACGGCTGCTGTGAAATTATGAAGTAAGTTCATGTTTTCCTCTAAGAAAGAAAGTTTGATATATAATATAATTATAAATTCGTTATAACGATTCCTGAGAAGTTATTCGGCTGCATGTAATACTGCACGTATGTAACGTCGCTTTTCATTGGATAATCGTAACGTTTATATGGATTTATAAACGAGTGAGACTAAAAAAAAGGATTGGAGCACCACACTTAATAACGTATTCTGGTACAAACCGGACAAGACGCTTGAATAATTAAATGTTAAAATCTCGCCTTTTCGCCTCACGGAATGAACTTTAAAACGTCTAATATATCTTTTCACACCGATTTATATACGATCAGGAATGAAAAATGTGAAACTTGGCGAAAAAAAATCATATTTGTCTATTTTGTGATCATGATTTATGCAAGCGTCAAGAGGTACTGCTCCAATCCTGTATTGAGTTAAATCCTTTATAAACACGGCTGCTGTCAATGTATGAAGAAATCTCTTTTTTTAAGGGAAGACTTAGTTTACTATATTTTAAATTCTTTATCAATATTTTTCGACAGGTTATATAAATATATTTAAAGGGCTGTTTGCAATATATCCCTCGTCTGTTTCCAATCAAAAATCTTAATAACTAATAATATAAACGTTTGTTTGCAATATAAATTCGCTAAGAGGCTCGGATTATACATGTGAACAGACGTTATGGTCATATTACCTGTCCAAAAGAATCTTTATAACTTATATTATACATTTTTTTTTAAAAGCCAGCATCATATACAGGAATAACTTATCATCAAACACTCAATCTCTACAGTTTTCATAAAGCCTTTTGTTAAACTTCTTTCAAAGATTACAATGAGATTGTATTTGGGGAAGACAATGACCTACCACATTTAACTATTTCAAAATGTTCTCATGTCAAACGAAACAATGAGTGGTATAAATTTAAGACAGTCTTTATCGCACGGGCAAGTTTGATATAAATACGTGGCCGGTGACACGGCTAGAACAGTTAAAACATTTAGTACCTACTGTTAACTTTACTGTGAACAAGTAAACTTTCTTCAAATAGCGTGTTGGTAAGTTGTTAACTGTTTGATTAATTAAAAACTTGAATAATTAATCAGAAAAATAAAAAATGAGAACTTTGTATAAGATAAAAAGAAATAAAAATGAAAAAGTATTAAATTTTATTTATACATTAATTGCAGGTAGGCAAGATGTTTGCACTGTTGCTTTTGGTGTTAGTTCCAGGCAGCATAGGTATGCGTTATACTTTTGTTATTTAACTATACCTTTACATATTTTCAGTACAGATACATAAAAATGTCTTTTTAATATGAAAAAACATATCATTCTCACAAATTAATCTAAATCAACGATTTTCACAAATAAAAAACACATACAAGTTGCACTTACGGTAATTTAGATTTTAGTCGAACATTAATTGGCGCACAAAAATCTCTAAAATCATATGATCATTATTTATAACAGATTCATTAGAATGTTATTCTTGCTCAAATGTGACGGACATTAAAAGCTGCCTCCATACTACATTCTGCAGCTATAAAGAGGTAATAACTTGTTAGCTAGTTCAATTTAAACCATTAAAATTACTCGGATTTTGTCTAGTAATAGGATGCTTCGTGGAATACACATTATTTCCGAATGTTTTATTATTACATAGAGGCAAGATTCGTTTTCTGTTGATAACATATTGATTATGATATCAATGTAGAAATTATTTCCTCAGCAAAGATTAGACTAAAGTCAAAATGTTTAACTTCTAAAGTTATGTCAGGAGGTCACACTAATTGATTAATCATTATCTCAATGGTTCTCTTTTGAATTTATATATTAAAAATTTATTTTCACAGACAAAGTTTTTCATTATTATTGTATTGTTTCATGAAGCATTAACAAATATGTGCAGACATTTGATGTTTGTAACGATACGTTTCTCATGTACGTTTCTCTTTTATTCAGTCATGCCTGACAAATGCAGTCTCATCAGCACAGACAACAACGTATTCCCTAGGTTGTGTTGATAATCAGGTAAAAGAATTTTGTGTTGTTTGACAATTTTGGACTAAATTGCTTTTAGAAAAATATTTAAAAAAAAAAACGTCAATAAATATTAGTTTTGTTAAACAAACATAATAAGGCGTTTCCGTCATAAAGATTTATTATTCATGTATATGTATATTGCTATTCAGTTTCTTTTAGCATATAAATAAAAATCTTTTGAGTACACACAAAGAATATTTGTTTTAAATTCGTAATATCATGTTGTTATATTCAATCATAAATGTTGTTATTCAAATAAATTATATTCAAATTAATTATCGTTTATAAAATCCGTGATCCAGATCAGCTTTTGTTTTAAAACTTATTAACACACGGGGGATGAACTGTTACACGAAGGATGGAGTTCTTATTATAACTTGTTCAAGAGTTTTTGTGATAACTGTAACGGAGTTCGTCGGAAAACATTTGTATATACTACAAAAACACTCGTCAAAAATAGTGTTCCATGCTGTTTGCATTTACATTGATTTGAAACTTTTTGTCTAAATGTCAAAATATCACGCTTACCTATTTTGTAAAATTTACATCGATAAAAAGTTTTGTAATGATAAATGATGAACTGATTTGTGAAAAAAATATCACAATCATTTGATATAACGGTTTATATATTTTATTTCCACCTAGTTTTTTTTTGTTATATACCAAATACTTGTGTCAAAACAAAAGCATGTCTTTATACACTTGTGTAAATGAACAGGCAATGTAAAAAATGACGAAAATTGTTTGTTGCCTATCAGAATGTCGTTTCCGTAATTTTTACCAATGCAGAAATTTCATCTGGCATGGGGGATGCAATATGAGTCGCGTGCTGTAGAATGGCATGCTTAGGCTGTAATTTCTTACGCTGTTGTAAGAAAATAGCATTGGGTGAAATGACATAAATTTCCATGGAAAAATGTTTTTATTAAGGTTAAAAAATTTAAAAAATAATGGAATATGTTAGAATATGCAAGAAAAAATATCTGACACATGTTTGCGGTTTGGATAGGAATATCCGTACCTCGGGAACACGCGGGCCCCCAAAGGACGGACATTACGGTCCGAACCGCAACAGTTGGCGGGTCCCTGAGGGACGGATATTCCGATCCGGACCGCAACATATAGCAGTTATTATTATTACTTACAGCATATGTTGCATCTTCATATTTATATTCTGAACCATCTTATTTGTCCTCACGACTTTTACAGTTGTGTAGAACGCATTCAGCAGCAGGGCTTGTCGGCCGTGATATTAGCGCACGTGATACTAATTGCCACGAATGCTGTAGTACTGAGAGATGCAATAATCAACTTTGTCTTCACAACAAACGTATGTGCCAATTTATATCCTGTTGTAAGAAGAGATAGACAAAACGAACACATTTTGTAGAAAATCTTCATTTTTTATTACGCGGCGGCTGCTACATACATGATTTATAGACTGCCTCCGTGGCCGAGAGGTTAGAGTCGATGATTTATAATCCAGTTACCTCTCTGGCTTGGGTTCGATCCCCGTGAGATGCTTTGGTAGTTTAGCACTGAGGAATGTAGTCTAGTACTGGTGTAACTCTCCAGGAACGATGGTTAGGAAACTACCCGTCTATATGACTGAAATACTGTTGGTAAAAGGCGTAAAATGAAACAAACAATCAAACAAAACATGATTTATGCATACATACATTTTATAAAACGACATTATGCTGATTTTTTTCAAGACACGTTTGCTTAACATGCAGAACTCATTCAATAAGTTTAATGCCGATTATTTCTAATCGTTTGCATCCCATCATTTAAATTGAGAGTTATTTATGCTTGCAGCTACAACGTGCATAGACGATGTGAAAGTTGACTGTGCGTATATGAATGCCATGTTTGATATTTGTAAAGACGTCAATCACTCAAAGAATGTCTGTCCAAAGTTTTGTGGCCTCTGTACGCTAGGTACGTGATGTCAGCGGTTGACTTACAAAATGTAATGAACAGACTATTCGAATAAATGTATATGTTTATTCAAATTTTTACAAAAATGCATTTTCAATAAAAACTTTGTACATCACTGACTTTTCCATTACAATCTTAATCTTAATTACTGTTTTCTGTAACAACAGCATTGACAGAAACAGCAGTTAATAAGCTATCTAAGATATTGTTTTTGTTTCCAAAGTTGATGGTAACTGGGCCGAGTGGTCACCATGGTCTGAATGTGACGTTACGTGTGAAAACGGCATACAGACAAGAAAACGAACTTGTACCAACCCAGCTCCTGCTAACAAAGGCCTGGACTGTATTGGAAATAGCACCGCTACTAAACCATGTGTTAAGCAGTTATGTCCAAGTAAATAAGAGTTTCTTCTCTTGGCAATTTTCAACTTGGATGGTTCCAGTATTCCTATTTGAATACTGTATAACCACCCTTAGGATATGTTGCCTGCTTTTTAAATTTGTCTTTTGACGTCTTATCTGTGAAATGCAGGCTTCATAACCTCAGATCCCCTTTCAAAATTCCATTTTATTTAGTTCCGCTCATTGTTTTCTCGTTTAGGGTACACGCATTTTTTTACTTGGGGACCATATGCCGCTTTTCATGGAATGACACTAACGTGTCACCTTGAAGGTTCCATGATAACCGCCATATGAACACATCTGCGGATGTTTCAAAATTCAAAATTTTACCAGGTCATGTTAAATGTTGAATTCTGCTTAAGCCGGTGCTAGGGGGCGTGGACGGTAACTTGCACTTTCCAGTACCGTCCATGAACAGGCTCAATCAAACCGAGCCTGCAACATTTTCAATTTTGTTGTGTTGGACTTTCTTTAGGGATTCTGTTTTTCTCTATTTTACATTAATAATTCTAATTACTAAGATAACTTTACTATTCTCAAAATAAAGCTTATTCAAGCCGATTTATTTCCTTGTTGTATATGTGTTTAGTTTTATTTGATATCATGACCGTTCTTTTCTCAACAAGCTGAATATCCAAAACTTAATATTAAGCTTGCTTTTACAATGCTAGAGCAATATCTAATAGATTTTTTTGGTGTAACTCTTGATATAAAAGGGGTCCTTGTAACTTTCATGATCTGAATTCACATTATTGTCGTTTTCAATTATTCAATGTTATTATTATTATTATTATTACTATTATTATATTATTATTATTATTATTAGATTTCTTCTTCTTATTATTATTTATTTATTTATTGATTTATTTATTGTTAGTTCACGGCGGTTGGGCAATATGGACAAACTGGGGAGCTTGTTCTGTGACTTGTGAATTTGGTATACAAAGAAGACATCGTAACTGTACCAATCCATATCCTTCTAGATTTGGAGACCACTGTTTTGGGGACACAATGGATGATAGAGTTTGTATGGTTAAAGCTTGTGCTAGTAAGTTTTTACTTGGACATGAACTTGAAATGAATATGTGTGTTTTGATAAATGTTGCTTTGTTCGAAAATTAGTAAAAAAAAAATAGCATACTTATAAGAAAAGTTAAAATGTCCCTGATACTTTAATGACGCATTACCTTTTTGACAGATGGAGGTTGGACAGCATGGGGAAGTTGGACAAGCTGTAGCGCTTCCTGTGACGGTGGTATTCGTACACAATCACGAACTTGCACAAACCCTCGGCCTTCTCCACAGGGTAAAGCATGCGACGGGGATCCGATGAAAATTGACATTTGTAATACTTCGACCTGTCGTAAGAGTAAAACATTTTTATTATATTTTTGACAATAATTTAGATATACAAAATGTATATGAATATAAATAAGGCCCATTTGACTAAAAGATGTGTACGTCATTCGCTCACATTAATGTAAACTTTTAAAACAAGGATACTAAATGATTAATTGCTATTACAGAAATTATTCCAAGCGGATATTGATTTTTGTTAGTCCTGTTGTTCTAAGAAGTGAACTTTGTGAATCATTTTTAAAGTTATTTATGTTACACTTTGTCAAGTTTTCAAATATCTTGATAATAATTCGATTGTTTTACTGGTATCATTTAAGTAAACAATTATCCAGAATTATAGTTTCCTTCAGAGAAGCATGCCTCCAGATTCATGCTTATTTTCGTGAAAATGTATTTGAATACGTAATATTGTAAAATAACCAAAAGGAAGCAATTTACACATTATGAATGACACTTACAAACCACGTTAATTACCAAAACGATGTCAAAATATGCATAAATAGCCTTTACTGCGTTAGTAACGCAGTAGAAATATACAGTTGTAAATACTAAAAAAAATCAGTCATTAATCGCACTTAAAATGTAAAATATTACTGGAATCTTGAAACTTTTTACTTTTCCTTACATCTTTGTACATTTTTGATTTTATTGAAATATATTGACTAATCTGGAGGCATGTAGCTTTAAAATATATATATTAATATAAAATGTTATCTTTCAGCACCAAACGTAGCATTCAGCGTATCCCATTTGACAGACACCGGTCCTTCTCCTGGTGAAATAATGAAATATAAAACAGTTTTGTTAAATGCAGGAAACGGATACAATCCTTCAACTGGAATATTCACTGCTCCTGTTGGTGGTACATACTCATTCAATGTTCAAATGTGTTTACATCCGGGCACTTATTCGTACTATGTTATAAAAGTTGGAAGTAAAACAGTGTCAGCCCAATTTGGACGTGATGCAAGCTACTACGATTGTTTTCCAAGTCATGCACTGGCTGTTGTTCAAAAGAGTGAACAAGTCACTGTTCAATGGACAACAACTAGTTATTCTTCAGGTCGTATCTATGAATACAATAGTTATACAAATTCCTTCTCTGGTGTTTTGCTACGTACACTATGATTGAATATAACAAGTATTAACGTTTAGAAGATACTTTCAAATTCATTTCCGTCTCTTAATTATAGAAATCAGAAAACTCTTCTCAAGTTATGCTTCATTAGTATATAATGACCCATATACTTTTTAAGTCAGATGTTTCATCTCAGATAAATTCTAGAAAAACATATTGAATACTATAGAAATCAATTTAAAGAAGGTAACTGTTATTTTAATTCAATTACCTAAAATGTATGTTCAGTTTGAATGTTTAAATATTTCACTGATTGAATCATGTTGAAATATCGACAATATCTGCATGTTATAACTGTAACTAAATGTTGATATGTAATAAAAAAATTTGAAAAAAAAATACAGAGTTTTTTATCGCATTTTACGTCAGTTTTAGTTACTTTTACTTTTTAATAACTGGTACACATCAATAGTTAGGTAACACTTGTTTTAACTACTTTTCTATTTTATATTAACGAACACTATTAAGGCATTGGACTGGACATTAAGATACTTCGAAGCGTCAGCAGCGTAAAGCCAAACCTCAAAGACTTTTTTCATCAAGTTCCCTGGAATGTACTGTTGGAATGTGATTTGAATATTCATAAAATAAATGTTTTACAAATAATTACTGAAAATACCTGACTATTATATTGGTTTTGGATCGAACCAATAATAATTATTTGAAAACATCAGTATTAGGATACATTTGATCACATCTTGAAATATTGGCCGAGTTCGGTTACTAAAATAAACTGATTTTACAATGTCAAGATTAGCCAACATTTTAGCCACTGGCTGGCTTCTGTACCGCGAGCAGATTTTTTTTTTGTAAAATTTAATAGAGAAATCATTAACGTAAATGGCATGCGACTCGGTGAAAACACAGGTGGTAGTATCAGTGTTCGGCCACCCCACCCCATCCCACCTAACAATCCGGATGTAGTGCTGGTGGTGTTTTGTTTTAAGGAGAACTTCTCATTCAAGAGGGAAACTAGTATAGATTTGATGAATTGTGTACAATATTTAAAATGAGATGTAATTTTGTAGAATATAGGAGTATCATAACAGCAGTAGAATTATTTTTACTTAAACTACATTAACAAGAATTAGAAAAATAACAAAAACATAATCTACCTATCCCACAACTGGTATTAACAATTATCAAAGATATGGATGGATGTCGCTGTATCTATAAGGTCATGCACTGATCAGAACAATACCAAAATTCTTTACAAAAAAAATGGATGAATTAAATCTGATCAAAATGATCTATGATGTCTGTGCCAGTAATTGCTCCTACGAGTTTAAACAATTTTGGTTAAAAATCTAGGTCAAAGCCAAAAATAGCAAAATCTTTTTAACACTCTTGGGGCTACTGTTCAATCCAAATATTCTGGCTATTGGTCAGAAAGGTTGTTTACTAGTACTCAAGTTCGAGTATGAGTCACCTTGGGTCAAAAACTAGGTCACATAGACCAAATATGGAGAAAACTTGTTAACGCCCAAGATGTAACACTTTCATGGGTCGTCTGGGATGGAAAAATAGCCCAAATATGAAAAACTCTTGTTAACACACTTGAGGTAATATTTTCAGCCCAAGTATCCAGGAAATTTGTCAGAAAAGTTGGTTGTGGTGATTTTTTGTCCATTTCAAATATGGATCATATTTGGTTAAAAACTAGAAAACTCAAGTGTTCGAATTCCTAAACATTTGCATCAAAATATCCTATGGTTGTTTTGTTGATTTCTAGCTCTAGATTGGGTATGGTTTATCGAGGGTTAAAAAGCTCGATAATAGAAAATCCTTTAATTTCTTGGTAGGGTTGTTTATGCAGATTATATCTAACAATGCTTGAATAATGAAAGTGATAAAGGACATATGAATGTTCAGAATTGATTTTATGATTGATTTGATTATATCAATGAATTAATAAGGTTTTGAAAATCAATGTAGAGATACAACACAGCAGAATAATATTAACATTTGAGCCGTGTCACGACAAAACCAACATAATGGGTTTGCGACCAGCATGGATCCAGACAAGCCTGCGCATCCGCGCAGTCTGATCAGGATCCATGCTGTTCGCTATCAGTTTCTTTACTTGTTATAGCGTCTGTAAGCGAACAGCATGGATCCTGATTGCTGGTCGCAAACCAAAAATATTTCCATGGTAATGTTTATTTTTCAAGACTTTTCGTGAAAATGACAACCTGACTAGCGCATTGATGGCGATTTTTAGTTTCGTTGATATCTTTAAATACAATAACGTACATATTACTCTATGATTTATTATATTCGGTGTACCTGAACCATTTCCCAATCTTCTCGTGTCATATTACACTTCATTTAGCAGTTAAAACTTAATTGAGACGAGGTAACGCCGAATTCGTGAATAAAGCACTGAAGCAACGGTGGTTATCTCATTAAGAGTAGCTAAATCCTATTTTACCAGCTTTCTTCTATTGTTATACGACATTTGCAGTATACAGAATATGGAAAAAAAGTTTTAATTGTGTTAAATGTGAATATTTATTTGACGAAACAACAAAAGCCATATTCAAAACGGTAATCAGGTTGTCTTCTCAGGAATGATCTAAGAAGGTACTAAACAAATTCCTAAAAAGGGAATAAATGGTTAAAGTATAATGTCGCAGCAGCCGTATTGATTCAGAATAAAATATTGTAGTTCGTTTTCTTACTGTGTTATTCGTTTTGGCAATAGCGTTGCACAGATTCGGCGTTACTTTTACTATAATTGTACATTCCTGCGTTACTGAATATGCACGGTGGATGCACGGGGGTAATCATGGAACCTTCCATGTGACACTTTAGTGCTATTCAATGAGTAGCGGCGTACGGTGCCCAATTAAAAAATTTTCATGTGCCCTTAACGAGAAAACATTGGGCGGAACTAAATAAAATGGAAATTATAAAGGGGATCTGAGGTTATTGAGCTTGCATATCACAGACAGGACATTAAAAGACAAATTTAAAAAGCAGGCAACATATTCTAAGATTGATTATACAGTATTCAAGTAGAAATACCCGAATCCACCCCACCCCCCAGATGAAAAAATAAGATAGAAGATACCCAAAAAAACCTACAACAACAGTTATGTCGTAAAGTTCAATTCTATATGCGTATAGACTACAAGCCTGCATGGTGATCATGTCTTTCATTGTAATAAAAAGCAACAATGAAGACTTCTTATTTCTGTTTCAATAGTTCATACTGTACTCAATAAACAGATGATTTCTCTATTGCTCTTCAGTTTCGCAAATAAAAAAAATAGTCTAGCAATTTGCCTGGCAATACACAGCCTTAGTATGTAAGAACATCACCTCTTCCTTGTCCTATTATTAACTTGAGTAGAAATAAGCCTTAGTAGGGACATTTACCGTAGGCTGAAAAGGAAATAACAAATAGTTGGTGCTTAATAATAAAAAATAGTCTAAGATTCCAGAATTACCCAAAAAGTGTTAAATTTAAAAATAGATAACTGAGTTGTATTGTACCTCTCGGTAGAAAAGATACACTTTACTTAGTGTACGATAATATCGTAAATATATACTAAGTCAATATTAAAATCAAAATATTTTGTTTAAAATAGCAACGTTAAATTCTCGCATTATACAGAAAGTAATGCTAAATATCAACACAATGTGATTCATTGTATACATTTATTATTCATTTATTTATTATGATATTAATGCACACCGTGCAACTTGAATTTTGACATTTTTTGCCCGAAGGGTCATGATTTATATAGGTCGACGGGTTTTCCATGATTAATTTGAGGAAGTCAAAGTATTGTGCATGATATGCGTATTTTAATGTTTCAATAATCACTATAAAATTATCTTACACAAAAAAACTTTGAAAGCAAGCATATTTTCATCAAAAAAGGAGAAAAGCATAACTATATCATATTCATTCGTTAAAGCCATCCTGGTGCCCTTAACAGGGGATCAGACGTATAGCGTTGCGATACTTTTAAAGCAAGGTGTTCGAATAATATAGAACATGCTTAGTGGAAGATATATTTGTGTATATGATGGTCAGAGTAAAAGAATCTTATTCATTGTACGGAGAAAATTAATGAAGTTTTTGCTACTTCAAATGTCAACGGCAATCTGACATACTTCTAAAAAGAATACAATAACAGACGTTATGGAACAGATATTTGATTAGTTATAGCAACAACATGTTTACTATCAATAGCAAAACAAAATACACAAACATTTTAAACTATCTATTCTGCATATATCTAAATATTTCCGTATTTCTTACTTTACGCATGATAACTGGTCTGATAAACTAACTGTATGCAAAAAGTTTGGTCCCTTTCGATGCATTTTCGTGATCGACTGATCAATATCTGTTTTCTACGCATTGAAAATTAGTAACTGGTATGGGGAAAAGCAGTCGTAGTTGTAGCATCAGATTTTTTTACATTCGAACTGCAAACTATCATAAATTGATAAACATTGTACATATTATCTCTCTTGTATTCTTGTTCACTGTTGTTTGTGATGTTTGATTTCTATATCTTATTTTCATGTACAATCGATGTTATTATGATATCTAAAGTAATTTTTATTTTAAGCACCATTTCACCTCGCTTAAAGAAAGTATCGCACCTCTGTACGTTCGATCATACCCCCCCCCCTCCCCCCAAAATTACTTTATATATCATAATAACATCGATTGTACATTACAATAAGATATCAAACATTAAGAAGTACATTCAAATACGTTTTTAAAACATTTCAAAATTCGCTGTTGTCGTAAGGGAATCATGAGTGGTATAAATGTGTGATATTCCTTATCGCATAAATCGTGACCCATAATGCCAGACCGTTTGAAACGTTTGATATGAAACTAGTGATTCTTCTTCAAATAAGGAAAATAGGACAACAGTAAGTTGATTATTTTAGAATAATAACGGGAATGATCAATGCCATAATAGAGAATAAGAATTATTAAGAATAAAAAAAACAATATTTTCTACAAGTTTCAAAAGTAGTTTAAGTTCTAGCAATCTGTCTTGAAAAGAACAATGACCATATTAAAATGAAATAAACATTTCATTTCAGCAAAGCGAATGTTTACACTAGTACTGTTGGTGTTGGTTCCACGTAGCATAAGTAATTGTTATTTTCAAAATAAGATATATACTTTTAAAGTTTTAATTATAGATATATAAAAAGTATTTTTGTAAACATAACAAGTTTACAAATGATAATTTTTTTTATTAAATTCATATCCTATAGCAGATAAAAACAAAGGTTTAGTTCAATATTTTTAATGTTTAATGTTTTTAATGTTTTGTTTTGAAGAACGCATAAGAACTGGCATACATGTAACCAAATATATCACATAATGTATCATAAAAATTAATATCAAAAATCACATGGTGTGCATTTTCATACTGAACATTTTATGTGCATTTTCATACTGAACATTTTTATGTCAGGCTCCTTGGAATGCTACTCTTGTTCAAATGTGACGAACATAGGAAGTTGCATTCATACCACATTGTGCAGTCATGGACAGGTAAATTATTGTTTTGTTCCCCCAACTTTGCCCAGAAGGGTACTAGATGAGATAGACAAAATGATCGTTTGCTTAAGAAATACATGGAAAATACAGAGTGTAATAATAAAATACATTGTTTTTATTTTATATATTTACAACTATTAACATGTGTCACGAAGTTACTTAAAATAGTATAAAAAATATTTATATTACTGATAAATACATTAAAACTGAGAACGGTATGTTTATACCCGTTTGATTAAATCGTGAAAACCGGGGATAGAATTCATTCAAATTAATTTATTGTAACTGTCCGTCTACACTCAAGATTTTTTAATTGGCATTTGATTGATAGCAAGTTCATGCTAAAATCGATTACGTGGTTAGAGTATATATATTCCACAATAAATGTATTTTACAAATGTCAAAATCAACGACTAGAATTGTTTACAGTGTGTAAAGAATTCGGGCATCTTTTTAAATATTTTTTTCTTGGTGTTGTTTTCTATTTATTTATTGGGTATGGTAGGATAACATTTTTATACACTGATATTACATACATTATTTTTAAACAATGTTTTAGCTGCTGAATGATCTTGTTTCTTACAAAAACATTATTCAAAAGGATGATATATTATTATAACAACCACTGAGGGTGAAAAGCAGAAATGTCTCCTACTTGTTGATCTCTGTCTCTATTTGTTCACATAAGGCTATAGAAAATATAATTCACGTTAGGTATAATAATAATACAGAATATTTAAAGTTTCCTTATTTACAAAAAGAACAACCTCTTATATGCAAGCTTTAGTTTGTTATTCATACGAAAGGGAGGTGGAAAACTGCAGAACTTGAAATCTTGAATTCATGAAGTCGAATGCGTGAACTTGAGTCTAAATCTTGAATTCATAAAATTGAAATCTTAATTCATGAAGTCAAATCGTGAATTTATGTATTCTGTATATTGAAACCGTGAATTCGTGAAGTTTAAATCGTAAATTTGTGAAGTTGAAATAGTGAATTCATGACGTCGAAATCATGAATTTGTGAATTTTTTTGTTGAACTCGTGAATTCGTTAAAGCCTCTATCACATCAGCCCTACGGCAGCCGTACGAACGAATTTTTACAAAAATCGCTGTATTTCGTGCAGGAGTCGCAAGACATTCGTACAAATTCTTTAAGATCGCAAGTTTGCCGCAACGTCGTAGACTGATTTCTCAACATGCACATTATTTCTGCAATTTTTTGACAAATTATGGACGTCTCAAGACTGACGTAAGCCAGTCGTACGGCAGACTCACGATTTCTAGAGGTTCTCATGGAAAAATGTTTTGCGTTTGTCTTGCGAGGACCGCGGGTTTCCTGCACGAGCATCTTGCGACAACCGCGGACCGTAATCAGATGATATCTCATGACAGATATATAAATCTGTCTAGATAGACTGCTAAATTGCCTGCGACCTTTCTACGGCACAGGTTTCTCTACAAATCGTACGAACCAAATTTCGTGCGGCTGATGTGATAGAGGCTAAGATGAACTCGAGAATTCAAGAAGTTGAATTGTCACTACCAGTCTTTCGTATATTGGTCCAAAGCTGTACTATACATTTTATTAAATATTTGCAAACAGGGTGTCTGCTGAAGGATGAGAAATCAACTACGGGGTTTTTTTTTTCAAAATTTTTTTATTTCCTTTTTAGACAAATAGATGGTTTGCACATTAGAACGTATTCCTAGATAATTTTAAAATATGGGGCGCACATAATTATGGGCAAAATTTAAATTTTGGAAACAAAATTGCTCTTTCCCTTTCCACCCAAAACCCCTTTGAAATTTTTTAAAATGGGATTAAATTTTCCCGTTTTTAACGGCTTTTTGGGTTTTGGGAAAAAAAGCCTTTATTTTCATTATAATGCCTGTTGTTTTACGTTAAAATGCATTTTGATTCGCGTAATTACGCCTTTTTGGTTCGTTTTATTACGCCTTTTGTTACGCGTTATACCGCCTTTTGATTCACATTAAACCGCCTTTTGTTTTGCGTAATTACGCCTTTTGTTTCGCTTTATACGCTTTAGTTCGCGTTATAAGCCTTTTAGTTTTACAATAACAAAGCATTTGAACGATAAAGCGTGCATTGTTTTACTATAATGCAAGAAATTTAATATCTATTTCCATTCTAAAATGCTAATATAAAAGAGAATATTTTTTATTAGATAAAAATATATTGAACAACATTTAGTGTAGAAGTAATTTGGTTATTTGACTGCCCTTTATCTTTGATAGGGAATAGTGTGAAACGTGTTAGAATTTGCGTTAAAACGTCTTTTGATTCGCGTAATTATACCTTTTGTTTCGCATTATTACACCAATGGTTTGGCGTTACTCGCCTTTACTCGCGTTATTACGCCTTTAAATTTTCAAATTTTATTTTTTATTTGATGTTATTACTATTACTGATACTTTCTTGAAAAACTGAAATATTTGATAACATTATTTTTGATGATTTTCTTATGCATATCTTCTTTCCAATTCAGTCATGCATGACAAATGCAGTTATGTCAGTACAGACAACATTTACATTGGGTTGTGTTGAAAATCAGGTAGGGGCAATTCGTATTGATTTTAGTGAAAGTATGCCTCAAGGACGAATACATATTTTATTCTTTAGAACAAAAAATGAAGTTAATGGCATTTACAAAATAAGCATGTTTTAAAGCTTCTAAAATATTACTCCCTGGGCAATTACCTGGACCTTCATTTTCTCCTGTTGCGTTTTGAAAATGCAGTTATATTTACATATTTTTACGAAAAACCAAGATACTGCTTTACTTGAATGTTGCTACTTTTTCACCAATTATTTCACATTTAGCACTACTTTCTTCAAATAAAAAGCATTTAACATTCTCTCAAACCATTATTTAAACGTTATAAAACTATATAAGATTAATTAATTTTCAGTAATTTTAAAACCTTGTTTGTGAATAAAACGACTTAACATCGTTAATTGTACACACAATTTGAAAATGGGATATTCTCAAAGGAATAAAAGCTAAATTAAAAAGGTAGAATACTGACTTCTTTTGTTGAAACTTTATATTAGACATCTCTCATGCAACTTCACACCAATTTAACCAGTATTCAATCTTCAACACATTTGTTCATTCATTTGTTTGCATGGTATAAATGATCTTGATGGAATAACACCGAGATGAGAAGTACCGGGCAACTTTTTAACAGCACTTGCTGTTGTGGGCATAAAAATAAAACATGAAATCACTCAAGAACAATAAAAAAAAAATTAAAAACGTAAAAATTGCATAGTTACTTGTTTGAATCAGTGTGTTATGACAGATACTGAAAGTGCCTTAAAAACTCCCAAAACGGAAAAAATTGAAAATGTTGAAGATTCCGTTTGAATGAGCCTGTTCTCGGAAAAGTATTACCGGGCAGTTGTTTTAAAAAAATTCTCGATAAGGAGTGACTTTTAATCACTTTGATGACTTATTAAAGATGTAGTTAAAAAAAGCAATGCTGTGTCAAAATTAATGTGTTAATGAAAACTCAGCATAAATTAAATGAATTGTAATAATGATATTTTGTGCAATCTTTTTACAGCAATGTAGAGCACATTTAGGTGGTGCAGCAGGGCTTGTTGGTCGTGATATCAGCGCACGTGATATTACTTGTCACGAATGCTGCAGTACCGACAGATGTAATAACAGACTTTGTTTTCACAACAAACGTATGTTCAAATTAAGTATCCAGTGAAAAGGAGTAGGGCTATACATTGAGTTATGCTTTCACTTAATCAGAGCTTGTTTTAAAAAAAGATATGAAAAAAGAAAGGACATGTTGTAATAAATCCTTTGTTTTCATGAAATCTTCAAGCGAATTCGAAAAGAAATTGATAAAATAATAAATTTGCTTTATTTATCATGGATACTCATGTCTTTAACAGTATTTTCATTAATACCTTTAAATTTTATGGTTGCAGCTACAATGTGCATAGACGATGTAAAAGTTGACTGTGCTTATTTAAATGCCATGTTTGATATTTGTAAAGACGTCAATCACTCAAAGAATGTGTGTCCACAGTTTTGTGACCAATGCGGGCTCGGTAGGTTAAGACTTTACTCTGTCAGATCACCCGTTGAGATACTTGAACGCATCATTATGTCCCTGAGGTTTGTTTGATAAGTAATTAGTAAACAATACAGTATCATAATGCAATAAATTTACATAACAATGACAGCACTGGTTCAAAAGATTGTCGTACATGGATATTTGGCAGGTAAGTACATAACTTCAAAATATTACTAAGATAAATATAAATATAACCCACCATTAACTTTTCAAGAAGGAGGGTCCTTTAACCTTATATGGTTTAAAATTAGCTAATTGAGATAAAACGGCTAAAAAAAACAACGGATCACCTACCTAGAAAATGATTTAGTTATTTTTCATAAGTTGATGGTAACTGGGCTGTGTGGTCGCCATGGTCAGAATGTGATGTAACATGTGAAAACGGCATACAGACAAGAAAACGAACATGCACTAACCCAAGGCCGGCTAACCAAGGTCTAGACTGTATTGGAAATGGCACCGAAACCAAACCATGCGTTAAGCAGTTATGTCCAAGTAAGGAGGTTTTTGAAACGAATTAAAAAGATTACGTGTCTGCCACTTAAAAAGTATCAAATCTTTTGAAACGAATATTTTATCTTTTTATTTATTATAGTTTTGCCTCTTGTGATACCAAAATATTGCACGCATTACTCAATATTTTTACAACTTCTTCATGACAAACGAGTCCAGTACTTTAAGTATTTGGTATCGAATACCGTTTAAGGCAGGTACAAGGGACGTGAGAGATGTTGCACCTTTCATAACCTTTCATGAACAGACTAAATCGAATCTCTGTCTGTTTTTTCACTTTTATATTCTTACTGTTGTTATTGCTCTTGAGGGATCTCACATTTTTCAGAATTTTATTAAATGAATCAAAATAATCTTAACAATGTTTTTAATTTTAAATACCCGGTATAATGATATAAATTCATCCTAACGTCTTTCAAGATCTTAATTTTGTTAATGCCGGTTTCGAATCAATAATAATCTAATTTCTGTCAGTTCACGGCGGTTGGACAAAATGGTCAAACTGGGAGGCTTGTTCTGTCACATGTGATACTGGAATTCAAAGAAGACATCGTAACTGTACCAATCCATATCCTTCTAGATTTGGAGACCACTGTTTTGGAGACACAATGGATGATAGAATTTGTATGGTTCGAGCGTGCGCAAGTAATAAGTGTTTATTTGAATCTTATTAAAACGAAATATGGATGAAGTCTTTTTGAAGTAAATGTTTTTGCTTTTCTAAACAGTAAAAATATTTGACATGAAATGACAAACAACAAAACTACATTTATGCGGCTTTCATCTGTTTCATAGACGGTGGATGGACTACATGGGGAGGTTGGTCAAGCTGTAGTGATTCCTGCTATGGTGGTATACGTACCCAGTCACGAACTTGCACAAACCCGCGACCTTCCTCGCATGGTGATGCTTGCTCTGGCAATTCTATCAAAATTGCAAGTTGCAATAGGGTGCCATGTCGTAAGATCAAATATGTATTCATATAAAACTCTGTAAAAGGTTTTTAAATTACATGATTTGCAAAAATCTAGTTTGTATAACTCTAATTTAAGACATAAGGTTATGCCATAATAATCTTTGACTATTCAAGGTCGGTGACCTTTTTAAGACATTTCTTGTTTAATGACAATGATTTCACTATTTCAAAGTATGTTAAGTTGACTCTTTCTGTTGGTACACTGTCTTGATACATATAGTTTTAACGTCCCACTTTAAAAGTTACACTCGGAATTATTGAATCTGTTTATATAGGATAGTATAAAGTTTAACATGATTTAAGCCCCTTGCACTTGGAATAACCATTTCAAAATTTTTGAAGTCATTAGACCCAAATGTTAGAAAAAGATAAAAACACTCTTTCACTAATACCAAATCCGTTTTAGTATTTGTTTAAATTTGTACATTGTCAATGCCATGCTTTTGTTTGAAAACAACGAAAAAAAGTTGTGTCATTATAAACCTTAAAAGATGATAATAACTTGACCTGTATAAGTATTAACTTATCACTCTGACAGACAAATAATATGTTATATATGTGCATGTATGATGTTTAATATGCATCATGACCAAGAATCCGTTATCACAATAAACATGATTTGTTGGTCAAATATAGCACCGTCCAAGGGACCACTGTTAATCCAATCTGCTGAATATGATAGCCGTTAAAAACCTGAAGGTTAAAATTTGCTAACGGCATCTTTACTTAATCGATAGGCATAAATTGATGAAACTCTAAAGGGATCCTTTTATGCAGTCCTGTACAAAGAAGCTTAAATTATTATTGTCTGCTTAACAAGTGCCCAAAGATAAAAATAGAAACTCACATTAAACGACATCTCATCAACCGTGACATGGATTTTGACCGAACTCAGTAGAAAGGATCTTCATGTTGTCCAGGACAAAATAGTAAAATTCGTCCAGTCTGCTAATCAAGATGGTAGTAAGGGCAGAAAATAGATATATGGTTTAAACATCATTTAATCTTCAACCTTTTTGCAGATTTAAATAAAACATAATGTAATTTGGATGTTTTTTTACTAAAATGTTTAATTTGCTAAACATGATGGCTGTTAGAGCTTAAAATAAAAAAAAAACGTTTAATATCACGTCTTGCACTATATTGGATAATTATGGAGAAACTATGAAAATTTATATAAAACTGTTCCGTAACTGTTATTGACGATTATTATGCAAATTATACCATTTCTTAAATGAAAATATGTGTGGAAATTCAAACTTCAACCTACTGCAAAGTAATCTGTTTCTTTTTCTATTGTAGTACCAAACGTGGCTTTCAACGTTTACCATTTGACAGATCATAGTCCGTCTGCTGGTGAAATAATGAAGTATAAAACAGTTTTATTAAACGCGGGAAATGGATATGATCCTTCGACTGGGGTTTTTACTGCTCCAGTTAATGGAACATACATATTTAGCGTTCAAATGTGTCTGCAACCAGGTACTTACTCGTTCTATGCTATAAAGGTTGGGAGTACAACTATAGCAGCTCCTGATGGAATAGATGGGGATAAGAATGACTGCTTTCCAAGTCAAGCCGTGGCTGTTGTTCTTAAAAATGAAAAAGTGACTGTTCAGTGGACATACGATTCTTACTCTAATAAAATCATTGATAGTGAATACAGCAGAAATTCGTTTTCTGGAGCTTTGCTTAATTCACTATGATTGCTGAATTACAGATTGTATGTATGGAACTTGAAAAAGACATCACTGGTTGCCAATTATTTTATTCTGAAATATTTCTTAATGATTTATTATCATTGTGACGTCAGTCAAACCGTTTCTAATATCTAAGGACAAAACAGTCCATTATTATCCGTAAAATTTGATTCTTGAATGAATGGAATTCTGTTTTAAATATGTTAATTATGAAATGAGCTTAAATAGAAAAACCTATGATACATAGTTGACGATAAATATACAATAAGTCAGATTTGTGTACATCCACATACTTTTATAAGATGATTATAATAAAATTCTGATTTAAGCAAACATGTCCTTGTTTAAATTTATCTTAAAACTGGTACTAAAGAATAGTTAAAACTGTTATAAAGACATACGACTTCAACTGGTTTGTTTTCATATCTTCCATACATTTCTGCAACTTTCACTTCTGTAAACTTGTGAAAGTTGCAAAGCAAAAAAATAGTCACAATTGTCCCAATTTGAATGAAAATAAAGTCACAAACAAGTCAGGCGTAAATGAAATGGGACTTGTTTCTTTCACGTGTGAGATGTAAGGCTCTAGGCTTATAACCGTGTACTGTGTCCAATTAGAAAGGAAATTCCATGTGGTTATCTTTTTCTTTGTCTTAAGCTTAAACTCTGAGTCAAACATCCAATTTAGATGAACATTGTATCAAGATGTAACATTAAAATTGTCAGTTTTTGCGTTATAGAAATATAATATTAACAGCAATAAATGCTTATATGTATACAATATTAACATTTTCATGTTTGAAATATAATTGATTTGTATGATCTCACTCAAAAATAATTCAAACAGTTTAGAGGTCAATAGTGTGTTTGAAATGAAGGGAAGTTCCTTACATGGAGTGAGATAATATCATTTCATTTTGACTGCTATAAGATGAAATTATTAAAACTGTTAAAACTGTCAGTTTTTGCGTTAAAGAAATATAATATTAACAGCAATAAATGCTTATATGTATACAATATTAACATTTTCATGTTTGAAATATAATTGATTTGTATGATCTCACTCAAAAATAATTCAAACAGTTTAGAAGTCAATAGTGTGTTTGAAATGAAGGGAAGTTCCTTACATGGAGTGAGATAATATCATTTCATTTTGACTGCTATAAGATGAAATTATTAAAACTGTTAAAACTGTCAGTTTTTGCGTTAAAGAAATATAATATTAACAGCAATAAATGCTTATATGTATACAATATTAACATTTTCATGTTTGAAATATAATTGATTTGTATAATCTCACTCAAAAATAATTCAAACAGTTTAGAGGTCAATAGTGTGTTTGAAATGAAGGGAAGTTACTTACATGGAGTGAGATTATATCATTTCATTTTGACTGCTATAAGATGAAATTATACCTTTTACGGTTAATTACATTGATTGAAGGATAATTCGTTTTTACACTTGATTCCATTTTAAGGGCAATTATCTTATATATTCATTCAATTTTTTATCTTATATATGTCTCAAAAATTAATAATTGTATCGATTGTTGCACAGCGTATCAGAACATTCACTTAGTAAGGGACTACCAATAAACCAGAACTGCCAATATTATAACAGTGAGAAAAAAGAAAGTTCAGTTAAATTTTTATTTTCTTTGCAGCTTTTGAGTGCGCTTATCAAATGTTATTTTTACTTTAAGATATGGAATGTTATTATTAATTGAATGCCATAAATGAATATGCTTAGCATGATAATGATAAGCGTTAAAAACGATTTTTAAATTAGGGCAGGATTGATTGGGAAATAAAAGTCCAAAATTAATACATGTTTGTGGTTGTGCAATATGCATTTTAACGGATTTTGTAATGATGACAAGTGTGATATATAGAACCAAAATATTATGTATGAAGTATAATGAGGTTATTATACATTTTTGAGTGCAAAACTGAATTCTGTTGGACGTGCTGAGCTATATTGGACGAGGCGTTAGCCGAGACTGATATTGTTTTTGCAGCTGGGTAGGAGTCCAATAGAATTAATTTTGTTCTAAACATTATATATCTTTTTTCACTCTTACATTTAACAGTACTTTGTTGTTAGAAGTACAGAATAAATTTACTTATTCTGAAAATGAAAATGACTCTAAATGGAGTACGATATGCATTTGATAATCTATTGTGGACTCTGAAAATGGAAACAAGATTATTTCATAGGATTGAAACTAATAACGATTTTGTTGGAAAATCATGGGGTTCAAACGCTAAAAATTAATTTGTTATAATTCTTCATAAGTTATAAATTAATGAGGTTCTCTTTGAGCGTACATATTTAACGACTGTTCTTTAAAATGAATTCACATGTCCCAAACTGTATCTAAAATATCTAACATAATTTAAGCAGAACACAATTTCTGTGTCAGCTCATGAACTGTCTGCAGAAGTACATTACAGATAGTTTATTATAAACGTTTAACTTTTAAAACATTGATCGTTCAAATTGTACCAAAACCATACATGTACGAACAGAAAATACGCAAAGTAGGAAAATGTCAAACAATTAGTACCCTAATCAGCTAATTCAGTCCACGAAAACAGAACATCAATCTGCTTGTAAAAAAAGGTCACAATATGAAAGATCCCTACTCTGATCTCTTATTTGAATAACAGTAGATTTAACCACAAACAGTAGAATGTACTGTTTTGTTTAGAAATACATTGTGGTGAAATTCTTGTTATAATCAACTAACCAGTTCATTCAAGTTAGACAAACTGGACACGGTCATGTAGGATCGTATGCATTTATCAAAAGTCTCCTGATAAAAACACTATGGAAACCTTCCTATACAGAATGAGAATCATAACATAGCCTTTGATTACTAAGATAATTAATCACAGTTTGTTAGGAAACGATTAAATGCTTTTTTGTTGTCGGATTTAAGCCAACATTTGATGAAAAGTAGACACGATCGAGGGCCAAGACATTTCTGATAAAAATAATTCCACTTATTACATGCTTTTCCATAGTTTATAGAAATATATCAGTGAATTAAAACTGAAACAGTGTTTGAAACAGTGAAAATATCAATTTGATAATTTCACTGTTTTAAATTTAAGCCCTTTACGTTGTTTCACTGAAATACCAGCGTACACAGAACTGGAAACCAACTTAATAACGTGACGTCGTAAATGAAGTCACGTTGTATAATTATTTGGCTCGCTATTCATTTATTATTAGGTAAAAATGACCTTTTTAACCATTTTTTTGCGTATAATAAAAAGAAAATTTGTTCAGTTTAGTGTAAGATCGAAATATATTTCACCTCGTGAACACCAAAGGTTTACATTTCACTCGTGGCTGCGCCACTCGTGAAATATACCTTTTGGTGCTCACTCGGTGAAATATATTCCGATCTTACACTGAACTTAACAAATATCCTCTATATAAAATATTTTTGAAGATTCATCACGAATTATCTTAAATGTGCAACATTGTTTGATTGCTAAAACGAAAGTGATTAATGATTTATAAAACCGGGAAATTGAGCCATGGGATGATCTAAAGTTATCCAAAAAACGATAAAAATTTGATTTTGTAATCATTACATAAAAATTCAGTGTAAAAGTGACATTTTGTGTAATATTATTGTTCGATGAATGTCTAGGTTGTGAAACCTTAGGTAAAGACAGTGTACTGGTGTTATTGTTTTATTATTATAAACTGGTATTATTCATAATTTTGAGTCATATTACCATGTATATGCGAAAAAAACTGAGGCTGTTGTAAGTTAGTTTAATACACTTTACAATAAATATAAACAGTAAGTTCTTCAAAATATATATTAGAAAACACTTATTTACCTTTCATTAGGAACTTCAAGATGTTTTTTTCTTCTATTTTTAGTACCAAACGTGGCTTTCAACGTATACCATTTGACAAATCTGAGTCCTCGTGTCGGCGAGATAATGAAATTTCAAACGGTTTTATTAAACGCGGGAAATGGATATAATCCGTCAACTGGAATATTTACCGCTCCTGTTGGTGGTACATACACATTTAGCCTTCAAATGTGTCTATATCCCCACATCGTTTCGTACTTTGCTATAAAAGTTGGAAGTACAATTGTAGCAACTCCATATGGAGTGGATGGAAGTTACATAGATTGTTATTCAAGTCAAGCCGTGGCTGTTGTCCGAAAAAATGAAAACGTGACTGTTCAGTTAACTCATGGTGCTTCCTCAAAAATGATATATGATAATCAATATAGCAGAAATGCTTTTTCTGGGGTATTGTTACATACACTTTAATTGTTGATTAAGTATCTGCAATTGAAAATAGATCTTAAAAAGAATATGTTTGTGTATTTTGTTTTGGTAAATCCTCATGGTGATTTCTGCCATATAGTGTCTTCGTTTAATTTCCCCCTGAGGCTTTGCCCTTTCTGTAATAATGACGTTTAGACTATTATTTTTATTTTTATTTGGCTTCAGCGGGGTGTAGCTAAAATATTCTACAACAATTTTGAGAACCTTTTCCAAACAGTATTTTCCAATATTACTTCATATAAATATAAAAATGTAGATACATGTATTACTACTGCTTTTGCTACCTTTTGAAAAAAAGACATCAAGTCTATTGCCGTCGGGCTTTCCCGATGTACAGATTTGATTTTATCATTGATTATTCTGCAAGCAAATACAATGTTTTATTTCATGCTTTTCAGTGGTTTACAGAAATATATCAGTGATATACAACTGGTAATTTCACTGTTTGAAACAGTGAAATTACCACTTTGATAATTTCACTGTTTTGAATTTAAGCCCCTTACGTTGTTTCAGTGATTGTAATGTATTTTTAAAACGTTTATTTGCATATAATAAAAAGAAAATTTGTTTAGTTTAGTGTAAGATCGAAATATATTTCACCTTGTGAACACCAAAAGTTCATATTTCACTCGTGGATGCGCCACTCGTGAAATATAGCTTTTGGTTCTCAGTCGGTGAAATATATTTCGATCTTACACTGAACTAAACAAATATCCTTTATATGTTATTTCATTCAATTTACTTAAGTCATTGATCCTAAACGGGGGTTTTGAAATAAATGTACTTAACGAAATTATGCAAATATATGTACACTTCCTACTCAGAAAGTCTGTGTTAAAACGTTAGTTTATTAAGTTATCCAAATCATTGATTCAAGAAGATTACGATGAGTAGAAAACTTGGTTATGCTTATATTGGTATATAAATGCCTCTATTTCAAAACTTCCTGAAACAGAGAAGATAGTAAACATTATAGAAATTACTGGGTTGTTGTTGTTGTTGTTCTTTGTGCGAGAGTAAGGAAAGGATTCATTCATAAGAAGAAGACTTAATTGAAATTATATATCCCTATGAACGGTAATCTTATATATTAGAGTGACATTATGTCTATCCAAGTTCAAATGGAGGGTGCACAGGTAAAAGTAAAAAAATACTTTTAAGTTTATATTTTGCCAAATTGTGTTCAATTTTATATTTAAGAAATTCAATGCAAAAAATAATTCACATAACCCAAGGTCAGTATCTATAAATATCGTTTGGGATGTATTGGTAACGTTGAATTTTAAAAAGTGTGGGGCAGTTTTTCTATAAGTTAGATAGTTTATTAGTTTATATATTATATTATCCTATAACCATTTTTAGCATCAATTATTGGTTAATCACTATTATAATTATAGTGAATCCCTTGAATTAAATTACTTATTTAAACTCAACTTGCAAGTGAAATAAAATGAGCATTGTTACTTTAATTTCGATATAACTTTACGTATAACTGTGCAGAAAGCATAGTTTGTTCATATTGATGCGTAACAGATGTAAGAAAAAATATAATAAGCTCAGGTGATGGTCTGATTGTGTGAATAAATTTCGTAATTATATAACCTCTTTTGGGTGTATTTTAAATAATTTTATTCTCTTTGAATTGGTGTCTAAATTGTCTAATAATGATTTAATTAATAATCAAAATGGTCACAGTCAATGACTTTTCTTTTCTCTGAGTTACTCTCCTTTCTTTCAGTAAACAGGCCTGAATTGATGGCACGGTGCAAGATTCATCATTTCATTTATAAACCCGTTAAGGTGTAGAAGATGAAATTCATTTGGGGTGCAAGTCTATTTAGTATTACCTTTTCTGCTTTTTAGTGACATTATACACATCCACGTGTAAATGGTGTGTGTGCAGGTCAAAGTCAAAATAATTTTGAATTTTGTCATAATTTTATAGTCCTGTTCATTTGTATTATTAATAATCAACGCGACGCATAAAAATTCAGAATGTAAAGTAAATGTTTACGTGCAGTCTGTATTCATATTTTAGACAGTTGTTATATTTTTTCCTTATTTTTATCAATAATTGGTCCATGACCATTATAATAGTCAATCTTTTTAAATATATAGCATATTTAGCCTTATTCGACAACGAAAAATTTAGCATTTATGACACTTAAATATTCATCATGCGAAAACACCAAAAGAAGAAACTGGTTAATCACTTATTGATAAAAATAACGTTCCATTATATCAATTTTTATCATATATCAACGTGAATGATTTTAATACTTAAGACAAATATATTCTTTTTTTTTGGCCTTTGTAGCAGTGTATGGGCGGTTAATGGGGTGGATTGAGCGAACGCCACATACCGTAAATGCTTTAAGTACAATAAAATAAATGTCTGTAGTAAATGCCACAAGGTATTTTGTGTCAGAACGTTTACGAAAACCAACGAAATAATATTTTGGACACGTCCACCCCTTTTAATCAAGGCTGAGGGCTGAGTTAACGACCCCTCATCCCAACATCCCCCTCACAATCTCAAAGTCCTTCATTCTGTATATACTCTGCAGGGTATGCATTTACTAGTAACTGTTATGCACTGAATAGCATTGAGAAATGGTGGACAATCAACTCATATATTAAAAACTGTATTAAGGTAAAAGTAAATTAAAAATAATGAATGTTTGACTGTTGCATCTTGTTGAAGTGTATGATACCATTTTTCTCAACGAATAAACTTCATTTGAAAAAAAAACTCACAGTTTCACTTATTCAAATTACAAAATGCATATCTTTTTATCATGACTGAAAAGAAAATGTATAATTTAAATGAAGTAAATTATCAACGGTTTTTTATTTTAAGATAAACAATAGAGGCATCACAAAAAATGTAAATAACGAAATGGGAATAAAGGACTGTAAATGATATGTTAAGCTTAATGCTAAATTATTCTTTTAATTTTTGTTAATATGATGTCAAAGAATGTCCCAAACAGAAAATCTTATCATACAACTTTCACGCGTCCTACTTTCGTTTGAAACTTGACTTGATTTGTGTACTTTTCGCGTTTGCACACACGGTTTTAAATGTAAAATGTAGTGTAATAAGTGCAAGCACATCGTTCGTCAAAATTTAAATTCATCTTTATGATATTGTTGATTGCATGCATATATAGATTACATCAAACAAACGGCATTTGATTCTTATTTTCAAAAGACAATAAGTACTAAGTTTTCGTAATATCTTGCGAACGATTGGAAGACATGTAAATAATATGTCTTACAGACAAAAAGATATATTTGAGACGCGCATTGAATACTAACAAGATTTAGAAAGGCATGCACATGCCGAAAACAGGGATAAACTTCTGCGTTTGGCCTCCGTATATTAAGGAGTAAGACTTGTTCTATAATGTGCATGAAAATGGATTATCAAAACAACTTTGATAAAATAAAAAAAATGAAGAACTTTATTCTTGTCATAAAAAAAATAAAGTTTTTGTTGAAGATTTCGATTAACTTTATAGAATTAGCCTCCTCGGCCTGCGCCGTCACATTAGCTTGGTCAAAAAAAACTTTTAAATTCATATTCACATCGGCATCGTAAAATGACTGTATGATATAAGCAATTTGAGCCTAAAACTTAACAAAACATCCATTATTAAAACGATACATTAATCAATAAAAAGACATCATTATGAATTTATAAATTTTAAGTGAAAAACTAAGTTATTTAGATTTTGTATGTTTATATGACTAAATACTATGCAAACAAAATGTAGTTTAATGGGTTATCTTGAAGCTTACAAGTTTAGCTGGTTTTCAAAGAATTTCTAATTTTGTTACTTTATCTAACTGAACTACATGCATCATATAAAACTTGTGTCAGCTTTATGAACTGTCTGTACGTAAATTGAAGATAACAAAAACTTGCTATTAAGTTAACTTTAGCAAACAGTATTATGATCGATTAAAGGTACGTACAAACAATGAGGGAGTGTAAGACAGAATGATATACATGTATTTATATAAACTTGTGCTATCCAGTAGGATTACAAGCACTAAGCATGTTCACTTTTCTACTAAGAATTCTGTTCAAGGCATTTTGTCAAGTATCATTCATTTGGTACTACACAGATACATGACTGATATGATTACATGACTGATATGATGTAAAAAAATTACACTAAGTCTATTTAAAAGACTTATTGTCAAGCTTCATTTGTCATCCAATGAAAACGCTGTATTTCTTTAAAAGTCTATGTGTTAATTTTCACAGAAGTATAATCGAATTCCGTTGATAGTCGGCTTCAATTTTTATAGAAATTCATAAAACCGCTTTGTAAAAAAAGTCATGTGCATAAAGTTGCGCATGTGCTTTCTCGGGCCACTTTTGAATATTGATTTTGTTAAAATGATGTCAAAAGGCCAATATAGAATAAGTTTGTATTTCTAAATAAAGGATATGTAGTTCTGATTTAACTACACGTCTTGGCGAAAAAGATACTGCGCTTGTAAAAACCAACACAAATTGTCAATGAAAACCTTTTTATCACGAATGTAGAAAGAAAGTCATACAATAAATTTCACGAAATTCCTTATTAATCCCATATCAATTAAAATCAACAAATAAATCTTTTCAATAACAAAAAAACTTTCTAACACTGAACTTCAGAAAATAAATGAAAAGTTAACGGTGGTTCCACTGTCTGGCCAAAACACTCATAATTTTTTTTTACGAAAATAATGTTTTAGTATCAAGCAAATGAAAACTCGTATCAGACAAATGGCAGTCCTCAATTTTTCCAAACTGAAACACAAGGGTACGTGTCTTCGTGCGCAGTGACTTAAATCATGTATATTTCATTTGTAAGATCTAATTTTAATACTCCATTCAGGTAATTGTTGAGTCCAGCGGACTGGAAGTGACGTTTTAAAGAGAATATTAATGAAGCCAAAAAAAGAATGCCACTAAGTACATATGTTTTCATCCCTAGTTAGAAACATTCTACGGTCGCTGTCGATCCCGTCGAAGTTTTAATTTCTGTAAAACAGCAAGGATGTACACTAACTTGTACATATTGTGTTACATAATAACCTTTGAAGATTAATTGAAAATCAATGAATATGTGCAGCATTTTTTGTTTAGAGAACATAACATCAATTGTAATTAGGTGAAAATTGCAGCTCGTTTGAAATTTATGATTTGACAAAAATTAAGTGAAAACTTTACGGTCTTTGATGTATGAAATGATTGAATTACTCCAAGGGTTGATCCGCGTACAAAGTTAAATTTAACCTTACAGAAGATAGTCGTTCTTTGAATAAAGTGATGAATCTGAATAAAATCATATTGCTTTCTCATTATGGCAAGTAAGATTAAATATTATGACAATATAAATTCCTTGCATTTAAAGTGACATAATGCCCATTTTGAATTGACTATATATTATAAAAGACTTACTGTTATAATGGTGACTGACTAACAGTTGAAAGAGAAAATATCAATCTGCCTAGAATATAAAAAGACTGTCCCACTCCATTTATGAATTGAATGTTACAGGTAAGGTCAGATGAATATTTACAGACATTTCCTTCGGATACGTATACGTAAGATGTTTCTCTCAATATCTGCGAAGTAAAATATATAATTTAAGGGAAATATGGCAAAATGTAAACTCATTTCAAAATTTACCTATTCAATTACTATGTACCCCTTAATGGGCATATATCAAATAACTCAGTATGATATGAATTCGTATATTTTTTGCAATGTCTGATTCAAAACTGCTCAAAAAATTATCAATATTTCGTAAGGAAAAAGAGTTGCCATTGGTTCAAACTGTACTAGGGGCAAACTTTCTTTTATAATTTTACTACTTTTTCTTCTTTTATCTTTTTTGAATGTTACTTTTTTCGAATGTAGACATAAATCATACAATATACAGTCGACTCCACTTATAACGAACTCGTTTATAACGAATTATCGTTAATAGCGAACTAAATCTGACATCCCCAACCGATTCCTGCTTTATTTTATATTAAATCACATCACTCAATACGCGCTGGCTTAAAACGAATTTTCTGCTATAGCGAACAACTTTTTCAAGCCCTTAAATGGCGAAAAACATGTTACTGTGCTCGGTAAAAACAAACTGTTAAAATTTAAATATCGGGATGCTCTCGATTAAGATAAATATTTGAATAGCGCTATTCGATTATTATTCAATCGAGTGGCTGCACAGGTAAGTGATGGCTTCAGGGAAAAAAGATTTTGATAAAATGCCCTCACAACATAATTTCCTACTTGTTACGGTAAGTTTGTATTTCGCACCCTCAGTTGATAAATTGCTGTGTATACCCAAAAAAACGATTTTTTGTATGCAATATTAACCAAACAATGACAAACAAATAGCAAAAGAATACAAATGGTAAGCACTTTATAGACAAGTATTAAATGTCTAAATACATGAACATAATATATTGTTTAATAAAATGCCCCTCATTAAATAGCCGCTGCCGTAAAATAACGATTACACCGGTGATGAGTGACAGGTATGGATTTTTAACGGCAAATTTGACCACCATTTTGTTACTACTTCGCCAACGAACTTCGGATGTAACGAACGCTATTTAAATGCCGAATTGAGTGCGTTATAAGTGGAGTCGACTGTAATACAATGTTTTACGGTGAAATGGGTGAAAATGTTGTTGCTTAATAACTTAAAATGTTAGAATGCAAAGGATATTTTTCAGACATTAGTCATTGCAACTGTTCCAGTATTTAAACGAATGAAGTCGAACCATTTCCCTATCTTAATACGACTTTCATCGTTTCAATGATGCTCAATGCCCATAAAACACGTTAAAACAAGCATCATTATTTTAATTAAATAAGGAATAACATCAATTATTATAGTTTACATAACACCGTCAGTAGAACCTTTTTCAAGTACTATAAAAATGGAATTGAATTTAAATACGAAACACATCTAAAAATGAACAAATATGTCGAAATGATGCATTTAGCTATTTAAAAATAATCTATTTTCAGAATGAAATCGTGAGTGGTATAAATTTTGGACATTCTTTATCGCATGCGCAAGCATGATATAAATACATGTTGACTGACAAGGCCATATCATTTGAAACATTTGAAAGGAATGGTAATCTACATTAGATAAATATTCTTCAAATTGGCAGAAAGTAAGTTGTTTATTTTTCAATAAAAGTGATAAAGTTCGATGAAAAGCATAAACAAGACTGTCCAAAATATGACAAAATACAATATCTAAAAGTTGCAAAAAAATCTCTTTCTTTTTGTTTATACAAAATTATTTTAGTTTGTGTAGAAAGCTTTATCTTACTTAATAATATGAATAGCTTCCATGTTTTTAAAATAAATATTTTATTTCAGAAAAGCAAATGTTTGTACTTGTGTTATTGGTGCTGGTTCCAGGCAGCATACGTATGTGTTGTTTTCAAATAAAGAAGAACATTTAAATCGTTTCAGTAGAGATGAATGAAAAGTATTTTTAATCGTCATAACAAGTCTATACAAATGATATGTGATTGAAATAGTTAACAGATAAAAATTATGGCGTTTAAGATATGGTTTTTAATTGAACGTTATAATATTCTTAATTGACAGAATTTACCTAAAATACTGATCAGATACAAATGATAATAAATCTAAATATACAAAATCATATGATATGCATTATCATTGTTCATATATATTTAATCAGACGCATTGGAATGCTACTCTTGTTCAAATGTGACAGACATTAAAAGTTGCCTTCACACAACAATCTGCAGTAGTGGACAGGTAATTACCTTTCTTTCACGCCTTTCAACATTGATTTGCTATGCTGTCGCTAGTAGAGGCTTTACAATGAAAGTAGAAGTAGAAGAAAAACGAGACAGAAATTCAGTGTAAACACAAAAAGTTAATTCAGGGGAATTGAATTATCTCCGGTCAATGGACATTATGTTCAAATAAATGGAATTGTCCTAATTTGAGTTATATCAATACCAATCAAAATTATAACCTAACTGTAGTAATCAGTAAATTTTAGATCAGCAATTTGCCATCACTGACTTTTACAATATGGTACGGTATGTGAACCAGGCTGACCTTTTTGTGTGCTTATCTTATAATAATATTTAGCAGTCTGCATTATTTATCGGTCAAATAAACCTGTCCACTAAGTATATTAGTATTTATCCTTTACTATACTTCATTCACGTCGACGTTTCTTGTTTCTATAGAATAGTTAGAATGAAGACTTGTATATGCATAGTGTGACTAAAACAAAGCACTATCAAAGCTTATGAACTCTTAAAGCAAATTTATTGACCAAATGATCGGCCCACCGTTATTTCAATATGGCGACCGTGAATAATGTACTAGTTTTTATGATTTGTAATGCTTTGAACAAGTAAAACAAATATCAATAAGTGTAAGGTAGGTGGATTTGTCTGTGAATCTTGCATTTGTGCCGTTCTAATGGCACATCACCATGCCTCTCCAGGGAAACTGATTTTCAAGTAAGGATTTTACATATTTTTTTATGATACAGCACTTTGAAAGTTCTTATACTTATGGACAATCTGTTTCTGATTGATTCTATTGAAAATTATATTTTCATATACAAGCATACATTGTGTCTCACAATCAGTATTTAGCTATTGTACAACTTTATGAAACATTGATGGTCTTTGCAGATATTTGATATTAGAAATGAAAATTTTAATTATACATGTTTGTGTCTTTAATACAGTCATGCCTGAAAATTGCAGACATAACAGCACAGACAACAACGTTTACATTAGGGTGTGTTGAAAATCAGGTATGAACAAAACATTAAAGGAAACAATTGTAAAAAAGAATTCTTTCGTTACTAAATGCATAATTTATATATTAATTATATAACCTGAGGTGATTGATATTTTTTTTTGCATTTAAGACTAGCTTTAATCACTGGACAATAGTATTAGATACATGTATTTTTAACCATTTCTCAAAGTTCATCTTCCATCAATTCTATATGCAAATTTTAATATATTATGATATATGAATTTAATGTATGATCAACTTAAAAAAGGCTATTTTCTCTAAATTTCGAATTAGATTAACAAAAATTGCTTTAGTGCCTTACAAAGTCCGATAACGCACATTTGTAAATGTTGTTACCCGTAATACACGAGCGCCATCAAAACAGAAAGTGACTACAATTAAGTATGCATACATGTAAAATATTGGCCACATTATCTCAACCTTGTTACATCGATAGCAGTAAATAGTATCCCGTTGTTTAATTTTTCAAGTACTAACAGTCTGGTACAATAATTTATGTTCAGATTTAAATATGTACAAAAAATATCTATTTTCTTTTTTAATCTTCAATTCTAAGCATACCATTATTTTAATTTCATTTTCTGATTGAAACGACTTAAATTCGGTATTTTACAGTTATCATGCAATATAAAGACATATCTTATATATGTCGGTTTTTCAAAACTGAAATTAAAATAAAGATAATTTAGAAGCGCGCTATTGGCCTTCAAAACTACTGGTGCAATTTCATCCACACTTTACAGAAAAGATCATAGTTATGGTCCTTTGATTACTTTTTTTAAGTTTGTCCACCGGACTACTCCTCTAATGCCACTTATGCAATTTCAAAAAACTTTACTGGATTGATCTATATATCAAGCATTTTCGTATATTACACGTTTTATTCCGGTTGAATGTTTTTGGCCGAGTTATGGCCCTTAAAAAGGTGTTGATTTCTTCGTGTGTTGCTAGCTATACAGAATTTTGTCCGGACTACTTCTTAGAAACTACTGGTACAACTTCATCTTTACTTTACACGAATGATCAATACCACGTCTTGTTGTGCATACCATCGGCTTTTTATGGTTCAATGGTTTTTGTCAGAGTTATGGCCCTTTTATTATTTTTATTTTTAAAATTTGTCCGGACTTCTCCTTTTCTACCCTAAACTATTTCAATGAAACTTAACAGGATTGATTAGAAGCACTTGTGTAAATGACATGGGTTTCCGCTATATTGATTAAATGCCAAGTTTTTGCCCTTAAATAAAAAAGGTTTTGTCCGGATTACTCCTCTTGTACCACTTAGGTAATATCAATGAAACTTTACACTGTACTTGCGCATTATTCACAGGTTTTCGGCTTGAATGATTACTTGCCGAGTTATGGCCCTTCAATAAAAAGGTGGAGTATTAGTGCTGCCACCTACACAAAAGCTTGTATGGACTGACACACAGATACTTCTTTTAAAATTTCTTCAAAACTTTACAGGAGTGATTAATCCCGTGTCTAGTTGTACATCTCATCAACATTTTTGATTCAATAATTGTTGTCAGAGTTATAGCCCTTTAATGATTTTTATTTTCAAAATTTGTCCAGACTACTCCTCCTACACCACTAATGAATTTCAATTAAACTTTTCAGGATTGCTCGGTAGCTCAAGTAAAACCCCACTTTTTTATTGAAGGGCCATAACTCGGCAAGGAATCATTCAAGCCGAAAACCTGTGAATAATGCGCAAGTACTTGAGTGTAAAGTTTCATTCATATTCACATATTACACGGGTTTTCAGAGATTTTTGTTCGAGTTATGCCCTTTGACTAAAAAACGCGTTTTTCCCTGTTAATGTTGTTTGTGTCTCCTACTACACAATAGCTGCAACATGCAGTTGGCTATCATAAGCCTACACATGTGATCACTGATCGCCATTGTTTGTAAATGAGTACGATATTTCAATATCTGTAATCGTGTGTTCAATCGTTGATACTAAAGATTCCATGTCTGAGATTTCAATTTTCATTCTATTAACTAACTGAATCTATCAAACTTTGGTTCTGTCTCTTTTTGTTTTTTACATCTTCCTTTAATGTTTTAGCCCTGATATAACCATTTTTGTGGAGCAATTTCATCTGAACTTTTCAGGAATGATCATTACTAAGTCTTGTTGTGCATATCGTCAGAATTTTGCGGTTTACTGATTTTGGTCATAGTTATGGCCCTTTATTTATTTATTCTTAAAGTTTGCCCGGAGTATTCCTTGTATACCACTTATGCAATTCCATTAAAACTCTACATAATTCATTTTTGGTAATTTCTTGTGCATATAACATGGATTTTTCCGCTTGAATAATTTTTGGCTGAGTTATGACCCTTGAATAAAAATATGTTGATTTTTTGTTAAGCCAGCTACACAAAAGCTTGTCAAGACTATTGGTGCAATTTCATTCAAACTTTACAGGAATGCTCAGTTCTAAGTCTATCAACATTTTCCAGTTCAATGTTTTATTGTCTAAGTTATGGCCCTTTAATGATTTTTTTTTAGTTTTGTATAGATTACTTCTCTTATACTAGTTATGCAAATAAGTAGTGAGCATTAAAATCCCTTCTTATATTCAGTTCTTCCCTGCATATTTTACAAGAAGTCAAACCATTGACATTTAGTTGTCAGCTTAATCATCATTTTTGTCTGTAACACTTTTACAGCAATGTAGAGCACATTTAAGTGGAGCAGCAGGGCTTGTTGGTCGTGATATAAGCTCACGTGATACTAATTGCCACGAATGCTGTAGTACCGAGAGATGTAATAACCAACTTTGTCTTCACCATAAACGTATGTACTAATTTATATATCGTAGAAAGATTAGACAAAACGAGCACATGTCCTAGAAAAATTTTCATTTTTTATTGTGCGGCAGCTGCTACATACATGATTCTTTAGAAATAGAATGTGAAGGAATATTATCATTAAATGACATGTAAATAAACAATTTTTAATTTTGCCAATATTTTGAATTAAAGTGTATAAAGTTATACATCTGCTGCAAAAATATTGTTTGAATTTCAAAAATGGAATACTTCCGAAATGGTTGTATTAAATAGATATGTTAGTAAATTGTCTTAAAAGCGAATGTTGCATGCACAAAATCATTGCTTAACGGATAAAACCGTACTCTAGATATATTTTGTAGTTAACATACTATATTCATGTGTATTAAATAACAGAGACATTCTATATTACAACTTTTTCTACATTGACCATATGATTACGGGACCAACATTATTTTAAGGCTTATAAATTTCATAGAAATATTTCATAAGATATAACTTTATATATTTTAACATATTTTAGATAACATTTTGTAAAACGACATTTTAGAATTTTTTCAAGACATATTTGCTTCACATGCAGAACGCATTCACTTAGTTATATGCCGGTTATATCTAATCGTTTGTATCCAATATTAAAACATGTATCTTTTAAATTTAGAGTTATTTATGCTTGCAGCTACAACGTGCATAGACGATGTGAAAGTTGACTGTGCATATATGAATGCCATGTTTGATATTTGTAAAGATGTCAATCACTCAAAGAATGTGTGTCCAAAGTTCTGTGGCCTCTGTACGCTAGGTACGTGATGGCAGCGCTTTCTTTGTTTTTTATGTGCTACTGTACCCACTAAAAATATCTTAACATCTTCAGCATTTAAATGGATAAGGTCATTGACTTGACTTACAAAATGTAACGAACAGACTATTCGAACAGATGTATTTGTTTATTAATTTTTTTACAAAATGCATTTCTAATAGATACATTGTACATCACTAAATTTTCCATTACAATCTTATTTGCTTTTTTCTTTAACAAAAGCATTGACCAAAACAGCTGTAAATAACCTATTTAAGATATTGATTATGTTTCTTAAGTTGATGGTAACTGGGCAGAGTGGTCACCATGGTCAGAATGTGATGTAACATGTGAAAACGGCATACAGACAAGAAAACGAACGTGTACTAACCCAGCTCCGGCTAACCAAGGCCTTGACTGTATTGGAAATGGCACCGATACTAAACCATGTGTTAAGCAGTTATGTCCAAGTAAATAAATGTTTTACACTAACTTAAAGGAACTCCACTGAGTTCAAAAAGCCTAAAAACATAGAATTTTAATTTCTTACAAAGATCAGCTTCAGCACTAAAACAGATAGGTATGCAATAGAATATAAAGAAATATACTTTGCAATAGATTGAAAATCGTGATTTTGCCCTATGGTTAGTCGGATAATTTCAGTATTTCTTCTGGAAAGAAAAGAGTAAGCGAACAATCTGAAATTTTGGTTAGTTAATGGTCTAGATCTACATAAAAAGGAAGTCAACATTAAATTCGAAAAATTATCTGCAGTCCCTTCAAGTAAAAAACCCCTCATTTGAGCCCCTTTAAATTACAAAGCTCACTTTACTACTGTCCAATTAAGTCATCTTATATATGCCGATTCATTTTATTGTTGTATGTGTTTTTAGTTTTATTTGATATTATGTCGCTTCTGTATGAGTCTCAATAAACGTCACCTTCAATATTTAATATTATTATACATGTAGTTAACGTTTACTATGCTAGAGCAATAGCCAATAGAAGAGATAAAAGAAGTTCTTGTTTTTTCTTTCATGATCTGAATTAACGTTATTGTTGTTTTCAAAGACATAAGATCGAGTTTTATGTTTATTTTCTGTCAGTACACGGAGGATGGACAAAATGGACAAATTGGGGAGCGTGTTCTGTTACATGTGATATTGGTATACAAAGGAGACATCGTAACTGTAGCAATCCAGCCCCTTCTAGATTTGGAGACCACTGTTTTGGGGAAGCAATGGATGATAGAGTTTGTATGGTTAAAGCGTGCGCTGGTAAGTTTTTACTTGGACATGAACATGAAATGAATATTTGCATTACATTTGTGTTATGACAGCTGTTGCTGTTAAATGTTCCTCCCGTATACTTCAATGTGTCGTTACCTTTTTGACAGATGGTGGTTGGACTGCATGGGGAAGTTGGACGAGTTGTAGTGCTTCCTGTGACGGTGGTATACGTTCGCAATCACGAACTTGCACAAACCCATCACCTTCCCCGCTGGGTAAAGCATGCGCAGGCGATTCTTCTAAAATTGCAATATGCAATACAGTGTCATGTCGTAAGATTAAATATTGTTGTTTATTATTGACAATAATTAACAAGTTTTATAATCTAAAAAATAAATTTGGCCTAAAATCTGGTTACGTTATTTACTGAAATCAATGTAAACAGTTATTACAAGTAAACAAATTGTTAAAATTGCTATTACAGAAATGAATCAAAGTAGATATTGACTTTTATAAGACAGTGCCGTTGATTAATAGGAGTGAATTAGTTTCGAGTCACATACATCTAACGTTTCCATTTAAGTGATAACACGGTGTCAAGTTTTCATGTATCTTTCCTTTTAAATGATCCAAAGTTATATTCTCCTTAAAAGATATATGTTATTTAATGCTATCAATCTGTCTTTGTTTCAGTACCAAATGTGACATTTAGCGTATACCATTTGACAGATCTTAGTCCCTCTTCTGGTGAAATAATGAAGTATAAAACAGTTGTGTTGAATGAAGGAAATGGATATAATCCTTCAACTGGTATATTTACTGCTCCTGTTGGAGGGATATATTCATTTAATGTTCAAATGTGTCTATACCCACAGACCTACTCGTACTATGTTATTAAAGTTGGAAGTAAAATAGTATCGGGCTATTATGGATACGATGCAGACCATTACAATTGTTTTCCAAGTTCGGCAGTGGCTGCTGTCCGTAAAAATGAACAAGTCACAGTTCAATGGACATCCACAAGTTATTCAAATCATATCTATGAATACAATAGTTATACAAATTCCTTCTCGGGTGTGTTGATACATGTAATATGATTGATGAGTACAAGTATTATGTTTAAGTTAAGAACTAACTCTCATTTAGACAAATGATAAAGCTTCTAAAATTATATTTTATTTACGACACCTCATTCTCTATAATGTCCGATATACCATTCAAATCAGATTTTTTCATCTAAAATAAACTGTTTACCTACTATGCGTGTATGTTTGTTTGAATGTTCAAAGACTCAACTGAAGAATAAACAATGCTGTAACTTGGTGTTGATATGTTATTATAATTTTACATCGTTGTTTCTTTCGAATTAGATGTTACGTCAAATTGTCTAATCTACACTTTTAAATGACTGGTGTACATTAATATTAAGATTTATTCAATAGATTTGAATAAATCAATCTAGGTGAATTCAAGTGGACTTGGTTTTCACATACATGTATTTAAGTGTCAGGCTTCACCTGACTGTTTTGATATAAACAAAAATGGTTTAAGTAAGCAAATGGCTAGAAACAAAGATATTTCATCAGCGCAAGAACCTTTGAAACACGAAGTTTGTTCTCTATTTGACTGCTATGAATAATAGGATATGCTTAATGAGAGTCCATCCTTCCGTTAAGTGACAAAATGTAGCTTTCATTTTCGAGTTCATGATGTCTAGACGGGGCGTCCGTGGCCAGGTGGTTATGGTCGTTGATTTCAAACCACTTGCCCCTCACCCCTGTGGGTTCGAATCCCGACAGGTGACCGTTCGTGCCTGAAATAATGCAAGGAAGGGCACGTGAGGTCTTCCTCCACCAGTAAAGCTGGAACGTAGCCAAATGACCTATACTGTGTCGGTGTGACGGAAAACCCAATCAAACAAACAAACATGTCTAGTTAACAACAAATCTACCTCTTCCGTGCGTATACGATAAATTACCCTATCTGTTGGAGAGGAATTGTTACATCGAGGATGGAGTTCTTCTAATAACTTATCTGATGTTCTTCTGATCACTGTCACAGAGTTTGCCGAAACATTTTTGTATATAGACCGTTTTACGACGCGGTCCGTTGCTATGAAAAATCGACCGGAAGTAGTATTTTCCCGTGCATGCGCAATCTGCGTAGGACAAAAAGCGCATAATTCAATTCAATTCTTTATTAAGACGATTCAGGCCACCAGCCCATACATCACAATAAACATAAAACATAATTACATATTATAATACATAATCACAAAATAAAGTGAAAATTTTCAGTAATTAACATAACAAGCAAGACTCGTAAATCACAATAAACACAAAACATATTTACATATTATAACAGAAAATCACAAATACGATGAAAATCTACAGTAATCAACATATTTACATATATAAACAGGTATATAAGTAGTTTTATAAAAACGAAAATATAAAGAGTGACTATTTAATTTGCCTGTTCCTGCATCTTGAAGAAACGAAAAACAAGAAAAAACAGGAACAAGGTTGTATTAATTCAAATATGCCCTTAAATAAGGGAGATTACCTTCAAGTATTGAATCTAGATAATCTAGATTGTTGCTATGATCAATTGACATAAAAATTAAAATTAATCAACATGTTAACACTGCAATAATGATGACCTCAGCTTTAGAGCATAATAAATAAACATAGCTAAACATTTTATTGTCTGTTCTTTTCTGGATGACATTAATCCATGAAATTTGTTCAAAGTTGGATTATTATAATATTTTTTGTTAATATAATTTTCTCTTAGATGACTATAAGTTGAACAAACTAAAATAAAATGAAATTCATTTTCAATCTGGTCTTCACAAAAGAAACAATATCTTTGATTTCTATCAATACCTATGTGTCTCCCTTTTTCAATCATTAAAGGGTGTGATGATGACCGAAGACTTACTAAAGCATATCTAAATTTCTTGATGTCAACAATATCAAGGTAATTTTCATACTCAAACACTGATTTATAATTAATTAAGAAGTAAGTTTAGCATTTGAATGACATTCAGCAGACCAATCTTGTAGATACTGATCTTTAAGCCTTAAATCGAGCTGTTTTAAAAATAACATTATATTTGAAACATGCTGCTGTTCCCAAATATAACCAAAACCGTTTCTATATAAAAACAATTTAACATTAGAAGCCCAATTTCTATATCCAATACTGTCATAATACAACAACATATGGTAACATTTTTTGACATATCTATAATCTTGCATAGAAAGAACTCTTAGCCAAAATTTAATACAGCGTATACTACTTAAAATATGCATTGGGTATCTTCCACAGTCACCAACAATTACAGCATTACAAGAACGTAGGGGTGCATTCATATATCGTTTACATGCATACAACTGTATTTTTTCAATATTATACATATATTCAAGACCCCAAATTTCTGATCCATACAAAAGAATGGGGGCAATTTTAGCATCAAACAACTTAAAAAATACATTTTTTGACATAGGCATTAAATGATTCAATGAAGATAATAAGGAGACTAAAACTCTCTTAGCTTTATTAGCATTGTTCTCAGCCATCTTTTGCATCGATAGCTTACTACTAAAATATAAACCAACATAGGAGAATCCATTAACACATTGTAATTGGTTGTCATTACGAGATAAGTAGCCACCTTTTCTAAAGACCAAAATTTTAGACTTTTCTATGTTAACAGACAATTTCCAATCATTACAATATTTTGACAAAATATTTAATTGTTTCTGTAACCCATTTACAGTATCAGCAGTCAAAGCAACATCATCAGCAAATAGTAAAAGTAAAATTTGTACAGTATCTGGTGTCAGCTGTATTCCAGCTATACCACTGGATGCTATAGCATCATATAGTTCATTTATAAAAAGAGAAAAAAGCATCGGGCTTAAATTACAGCCCTGACGTAACCCAAGAGGACACTCAAAAATTTCACTATGTTTAGAATCCATTCTGACACAAGCTTTGACAGAATTATAGATACCTTTAATTGCCCTTAAAAGATTACCTTTAATGCCCTGATGATGTAAAACCAAATACAACTTTGATCTGTCAATGCTGTCAAAGGCTTTTTTAAAATCAATAAAAGCCATAGAATAATATAGAAATATAGAAGAAGTTAATAGACAATTCCGAGTTAGTTTAAGGTAAAAGGTTAAAAATTATATAAATTAACTTTTAACAAAAATAGAAAAGATTCCTTTATAGCTCTGTGGCCAAGATTGCAATACAAAGGCAAGGAAAAGGAATTTCCCCTTACGGTCGATCACGGACCTAACATATTGAGATTTTTTTGAAGAAAATGTGGAATTATATCTATTATTCAAATGGGAGTCAACTTAATTGTTGTTGAAATAGTTCATAAAAAGATAAAAAGAAATTTTATAACATATGAAATCAAGGTTAGTTATCATTCTGAAAAAAAAAGTCAGAACAGACACGGTGATAATGCATTTTTAGTGTTCAGTTTACCTGATTTTATCCTTTATTTGACTGTGATGCAGAGCAGAACATTTTTAAAGTCACATAAATATATTTTAAATAGTTAAAAAAATCAAAATCTTTAAGGTAGGTGAAATAACACAAATTTTATCCTGTTCCTCGTAACACCTGTTAATATTTTTAATGCAAGTCACACTAATTGTCACTTTTCAAAATCAATAAACATTGATGAGATCGGTATAATTATATAAAAATTATTTATATAACGATTTTCAAAATTGTACGTGATTAACTATGTCATGGTACTGAAATGTTCCGGTTGAATGATATTATAGCTGGAAACAAACAACCGCGTCGCGTGTCAATCTGTTTGACACTTACCGCCTGGCCAATCCAAAAGGAAGTGTACGATACACATTGTGTAATATTGTGTAATACAGTGGTAATAAAATAATCGTTATCACGCTGCTGTTTCAATTTTAATAGCAGATGAAAAAGTCGTCTAATGATACCTTAAACAGACTTTTGTGTACGCCTTTTGACCATTCGATTATTAGTCCTGCATATTTAGCATATCTGTTATAAATATCAATCAACGTTTTAAGTACTTACCGCTTTAAGTTATCCCAAAATTACTGTTTTCTGGTTGACATAACATGGAATCACGACTATTAAAGCCTTAAAGTATCATACACTGTTCTCAATTTTAGTGCGCTTTTGCCCTACGCAGAATGCGCATGCGCGAAATGCAACATCGGTTACTATGGAAGAATCGTATTGTAAAAATGTATATACCGAAGAAACACTTGTTCTGAGTAAAATATCAAATTGTTTATAATTTCAAATTCATGTCCGATTTTCAAATGTCATAGATTTCTTCTGATAACTTAGAAGATACTCTCGAGCTTTTCTGATAACTTTTATTACTGCAAATATGTTTCTTCCGCACGTTTTAGCGTTTTGTATTAGTCAATAAGTAAATCGTAGGCCTATCCTTTGCGCAAAAAATTGGTTATAATATATAGTATTTGATTTGAGTTAGTAGTAAACAGTCTGCATAGGATAAGCTGGTGATAGGCTATCTACAGCAAAATATGACTCAGTGGTCACATGTATTCAGCAGTATCATGGATTAAAGCGCCAAGCAAAAATGTTTCAAAACTTAAACTTTCTTAAGCAGGAAATTTAGAGTTGTGCTTCCCTACTCTGACGGCTAAGTAATTTGTATCTTTTTATACCATAAAAACAAGTATATTACCAGGATAACATTAACACCTATGTACGATGGCACAAAGGTGACATGTGTGTGTTTTTATTTATCTCGTGGCCACGAGATACTATGTCGTGGCCACGAGTTACTAAGTCGTGGCCACGAGATAGCTAAGTCGTGGCCACGAGAAACTAAGTCGTGGCCACGAGATACTATGTCGTGGCCACGAATTACTATGTCGTGGCCACGAATTACTAAGTCGTGGCCACGAGATAGCTAAGTCGTGGCTACGAGTTACTATGTCGTGGCCACGAGTTACTAAGTCGTGGCCACGAGATAGCTAAGTCGTGGCCACGAGATACTAAGTCGTTGCCACGAGATAGCTAAGTCGTGGCCTCGAGATAGCTAAGTCGTGGCCACGAGATAGCTAAGTCGTGGCCACGAGTTACTAAGTCGTGGCCACGAGTTACTAAGTCGTGGCCACGAGATAGCTAAGTCGTGGCCACGAGATAAATAACCAATCAGATTACACCATTTATGTGAATTT